AACGGTTACTTAATCAAAACTGACTTGCGAGCCATGTTCGTGAGCATTGTAGACATTCGTTTTGTCGTTTTAAGCGAGAATCTCCTGATTTCCGTCTTCCTTCTCGGGAGGATCAATGCAACGCGGGTATTTTGGTGGCCTCCGGGAGCGGCGTTGTAATGTGCCACCAAACGATCTGTCGTACACATAAATGTCAGAACAGCTTTTGGCAGTTAATCAAATAATACTAATTTGAAATAAATTAAGTACGCTGCAGCTGATACAGCGCTGCCATGACTGAGGGCTTAATTCCTTGTCATATTCTTTTTCTTTTCGCTTGCATTCTTGCCGAGTAAGATGAGTACTTCTTTTCGTTTGCTGTTTTTGCAGGGCTACCGAGTCCTGGCTCTGGGCTGGAAACCCCTGGGGAGGTCGACTGACAATCTTTCATCTCCAGGCGACCTTCGTATCGGCCACAATGCTTGGGAGCTGGAATATCATGCGCTTAGGCGTGAGGACATTGAATCCAATCTTAGCTTTCTCGGCCTAATCGTTCTGGATAACCCCGTCAAACTGCAGTCTGTTCCAACCATTGAAGAACTGTCTCGAGCCAACTTCCACATCCGGATGGCTACTGGTGCGTTTCATTCTATCTTCTTCTACTAATCTTCAGTCACGCTGGGGTAGTAAAAATTTAAAAACGATTCGAAATTAAACTAGAATCTGAAGTAAATTAATCTAAAAAATAATTAGTAAGGACGACTTATGCGCTCAAAGGGCCAATTTTTCTTCGCGTAGAGGTCCACTTAATTTTGTTAAGTAGGCAGATTTTAATTAAGATTTTTTTTCTTTTTATTCCTTCGGGAGCGGTGTAGGTTTTGGTTTTCTTTGATCTTTGTAGACCTTTGCTTCCCTTAGATTATTGTGCGCAATGACAAAAATTCTTATTTGGGATTAATGAAAGATGGCTAACGGTATCTGCCGTATAAAGCGGGGCTTCTTCCGTAATTCCCATTCATTTCCTTCGAAGAACGCTAAAATATATTAAAATATTTCAAAATATATGTAC